TTGTTAATTTTCTTGCCAAAATTAAGGGCAACTAGATATTCAGGCTGCAATCTTGCATTTATTTGTCTTGCAGTTAGCCCCATGGATCTTAGTAGAGTTGATTTTGCCATGATTTTTTATGATTAGGGCAGGTGTAGGTATTTTTTTCAAGTCACAATCTTTTGCTTATAACCTTTTTCGCAATTAGAGATTTGTTTTTGTTTTTGTTTTTAAATGAATTTAGCTATTATATCAGAGTACTACTGTATACTGAAAATCTCTCTCACTTACTTTCTTACAAGTGAGCGAGATCCTCAGCAAAGTACTCTGATATAATAGCTAAATAAGCTCAGTGCAAATCAAGAGAAATAAACAAATTCAAGTCACCTAGTGCAGCGGTTCTCAACCTATGGGTCGGGACCCCATTTGGGGTCGATCGACCATTTCACGGGGGTCGCCAAGCAAGGCTGTCCGCCATTTTTTTCCCCTTTTCCGGTGGGTGCCTTACCTCTCTTGGGCTGGGCCAGCTGGTGGTCGGCCTGCTCCGTCTCTGCCGCTTGCCAGCTACGCCTCAGCCGGCGCAGGGGGCGGAACCACGCATGCGCGGCACTCCCGGGCAGGGAAAGTCCTCGACTTACGACCGGTTTAGTCTTCGACTTACAACTGGTTTAGTCATCGACTTACGACCGGTTTAGTCCTCGACTTACGACCGGTTGGGGGTCGCGGCATTAAAAAGGTTGAGAACCACTGACCTAGTGCAAACTGCCTCCCTTGGTGGCGCAGTGGTTAGAATGCAGTATTGCAGGCTGACTTTGCCGACTGCCAGCAGTTTGATCCTTACCATCTCAAGGTTGACTCAGCCTTCCATCCTTCCGAGGTTGGTAAAATGAGGACCCAGATTGTTGGGGCACTATGCTGATTCTGTAAACCACTTAGAGAGGGCTGTAAATCACTATTGAAGTGGTATATAAGTCTAAGTGCTATTGCCATTGGCAATAATGAAATAATTAGGGTCATTTGTTAAATATGTGTGTGTATGAGGAATGTAATTGCTTCTTTTGTATATTTTTGTTAATCACTTTTTAAACATTTTCTTGTTAGAAAACATACATAAAATTTATTTGGACATTAATTTTCACAGAAATGTGTAGCATTGTCATAAAGTTAGTTTTATTTTTCTGAAATGTGTTTCTTGCATGAATAACTAATTTTTACATAAATTATTCTGTTTAAATAGTTATGCAGAAGGCATGGCGGGAAAGGAATCCTCAGGCCCGAATCAAAGCAGCGTATCAAGCTTTAGAATTAAATAATGAGTAAGTTTGCAGTCTAAAGCAGGTGTGTCCAACCCATGGCTTGAAGGCCACATGTGACCCTGGACAGCTATTAATGTGGCCCCACAAGATATAATAAAAATGTACAAAAATAAAGGAAGCTTGTTTATATACGTTAAATATTATATACTTTATATGCGGCCCAAGACAGCACCTCTTTACTCAGTGTGGCCTAGGCAAGTGAAGACGTTAGGACATGCATGATCTAAAAAAAATTATATAAATTAAAATTCTGAATTTTAGAATTACATTTTAAATGTAAGGCATAAATATAATTTTATATTACCTAGTCATATTATGAGCAGACTTAAATGATATGTGTAATAACCATTCTAATTTCTTTAAAGTTGCCCCATGTTATTCAGTTCTTTAAATAAGATACAAGATTATTTTAGAGGCTGAACTCTTCAAATGAAGTATGAAGTGATAATGTGAAGATACTAGATCTGTTTCTGTGGTTTAGTTCTTAAAAAGAAAGTACAGTGGAAGTAAATATGTGTTTCTTGGCTATGTTGTGAACTAGGAAAGCACATGCCTTACTCAGACTTACTATAAGTTTCATATTCAGAAAACCTTAATTGCTGTTATTATAATATCCAAATTCAAAATAAATCCTAAGCTAGTTTTTATTTAAACACAATATTTCATTGTTTATTAAATTCATATACCATCCATCTCACTGCAGAAGTGACTCTGGGCAGCTTACAAAATTTTCCCCTTCCCTTTCAGCTGTGCCACAGCATACATTCTTCTGGCTGAGGAAGAAGCAACTACTATTTTAGAAGCTGAAAAATACTTTAAACAAGCTCTGAGGGCAGGAGAAACAGTTTATAAAAAGTCTCAGCATAGCAGTTCACAAAATCCACACCATGAGGCACAGCTTAGTAAGTATTGTTGCACAAATTGTTTAAAATTGGTAGATTTGAGATTGGTCTCACTGTAATCCTTAACACAAAAACTAATACTTTTTAAATAATCAGGAGTTAAAACCAATATAACACAAAATTCTAAATCATAGATTACTGATTACTGTGCATTTTAATTTTACTGCAACAGAAAGCAGTAAAATTGATCTGACTGAGCAACCTACAGTATGTATGTTCATTTGACAGATAATCTATCAAGCCCAAAGATGACACAGTGAAATCCAGTTGAGTCCAATGTTTTAGTCCAATGTGAAATCCAGTTGAGTCCAATGTTTTGCTTCAGTGTTTATTTGCCAAACTAAAGCTCTACCCTAATAGATATATCCTAAGAGATTCTAGGGAGTAGCTACCCTGAAGTTTTTCCCCCTCTCCGATTCATCTTGGGGCTGCACAGTGTATTAGTTTGGGCTTTTCTCTGAAACGTATTGCCTTTTTCCTGGGAAAGCTGCAAAGATTCCACTCTGCTTGTTCAGGTGCACATTCCATCACATCTTACTCAATGATTCTTTGTTCAGCCAACATTCAAAGTTACAAAAGCGATGAATGAATGGTTTTTACACCTGGTTCTCAAAGTTTGGCCATTAGAGCACTGCTGTGGTCATGTGATCCAAATTCAAAGGCTTGGCAGCACACCCTGGTCCCTTGCACTCTACAGATCATGTCACCTTGTGCTCTGCCACCCCCAGTTGACCTTCACTGTCGTCTTGCTCCTGGTGCTGATGAAGCACGCCCAGCCTGACCCTTTGTGAGGCAGTTCCTGGCCATGCAAGACCTCCTTCTTGAGGTTGCATGTAGTGATTTCCTTGCAAGACCTTGGGAAGAAGTAGCTGGGGTTTGTACCACATAGTTAGGCTAGACTGCTCGGGCTTTGTGGGCCGGGATAACTGGGACTTTGTACTGGGCCATTGAAGCTGTTTGCATGCCCTACCTGCCCCCTGTCATCAGTCACTCCTGTCCAGGACCTCCCTGCAACTTCCTGCCAAATATCACATTGTCTTTGCTTGTTATAAGCCAGCAAGAAGTTGTGAGGAGATCCTCATTTAACAACCTGTGAGTCTCACTTAATGATGGCAGCAGGGACTGCCAGGATTGCCATAGTTAAGTAATGCAGCCATAGGACGTTCTGCATTACTACCACAGCATTTGATCCAAATTATCGTTATTGACTACCTATAGTCAAATTTAATGCGATGGAATTACTCCATTGTATGAGATTTCAACCTTAGTCCTATGTCCCAAATGTTACAGTTTGCAACTAAAATTGCAGCACTGACATGAAATGAAGCAGCCAAAAAAGGTTCTTCCATTAATGGAATAATAACAGTGTAAGTAATTTATATCAGTGCTAAGGGTACTTTCACATATGAAAGCATATATATAGTTTCATTTATCCATTCAGAGCTTTAATTTCTATAAGGAAGTCTTTGTGAGTAGCCCAGAGCACATAAGTAAATGCTTCATTAATTTTTCCTCTTTTTATCATGGGACCGAAATGACAAACAGTTGATTTTTTTTTCTTTCTTCCCTCTTTTGTGAAATGAAGATAAAAGGATTGTTGTACTATATTATCTGTAGCAGTTCTGGGCAAGACAGTGTTTTTTTTACTCTTTATTCTCAGTACTTCAAGTTTGTAGAAATGAAGTTAACCATTTACAAACTCTTTGAACAGATAAGATTTTTACTTTCTTACTAAAATCTTATCCTACTATTTGTCAAAAAAAATCCTGCATTACTGTACTTAATTTATAGCATCATGTAACTCTGGAAAGTTCATTGAAATAACTCAATTTTGGTTTTAATAGTACATTGTCCTATCCCCAGTGCTATCATTAAAGAGCTAGCTAAGTAGTCTAAGTATAGTATGTACTTATTGACTTTTTTGCAATAAGGGATCAAGATTACTACAGCCTTTTCTGTTTCTGTTTCTCTTCTTAGTGTTTTATGCCATGGAATGTGATATCTTACTTTTGAAGTCATAAAAAGTTCTCAGGCTTCAATTATTATTACAATGGAGAAACAAATATGATTTATTGTTTGGATGAGAGGTTGTTAGCAAGTTTATGATTCCATAGTAACAGGTTTAGGAACCCTTTGGATTTGCTGTATTTCATATTGGATCAGAATCTCACATGCCTGTAGACTTCCCTTTTTCTTTCAGAGAATGTAATATTCTCTTTCTCGTGTATGTCCAAATGGACACGTTATTAACTTGATAATACTTAAGTTTACTAAGGAATTATTTCCATTTTAAATATATTAGACAAGATCATTGAATAATATCTCTTTTATTTTTTAAAAAACATAATCTTTCTATATAGCAACATCTGCAAAAAAAAATATTTTTCCCCCAATGTAAAAGTATTCTATTAGAATTACATATATAATGAGTATAAAAAATGAAAATAAAATATATTTACTGTATTCTCTGCATTTTATGTTTTTATGGTCAGTAAGTATATTTAGACAAAATAACAAAATATACTGTACATATGTAAATAAAAACTCAGAGACAATGGTTACTTTTGCTAACAATACATTTGATGAATCTCTTTTCAGGAAGAGATACCAATGTATTGGTTTATGTGAAAAGAAGACTAGCTATGTGTGCAAGAAAGCTTGGAAGAATTAAAGAAGCAGCAAAAATGATGAGGGATGTAAGTAAGATATTTGCACAGAAGAGTTCAAAGAAATACTTTTTCATTTTCTCATTTTCAGTTGTTTTAATGTATTAGGTAAAAGAAGATCTGTAGTGTATTGTGATTAAAAATAATTATAATGATGGTCTAAGTTTGCATAGTAAGGGCATGTAAATTGAACTCAAAACATTAATAGGATGGTCAAATTAATCAGTTCTGAATATGAAAGAGATGTAATTAATTTGAAATAACAATTTTTGAAATTATTATACTTCTATCTGCCACAGTCAAAATGACTGTTTTCAGCTTACAGTCTTCATAACTTGAAAATGAATTTTTGAATTCACAGTATGTTGTGCACCATTATTGCATATGAATATTTTTAAAAAGTGATTATAGATTATGGTGGCCTCTACCTTTGATTTATTTGGATGTTAAGGGTTATCTGGATTCATTTCAGATCATCTTCACTCTAGGACTTTTCCAATTAGATGACTGCTTGTTTTAAGAGCTGAGTTGGGTTTTTGTGACTTAGTGCTGGGTTAAATGAAATCACAGCTTTTCTTTTTGTCTTGTACTGATTGGGCTTGTATGTGGTATAGCTGCATGTTGGAAAAAACATATGCTTACCCTTTTCTGCCTCTCAGCTTCTAGCACTAAATAAAAACCTTGCAAATTTGTATTGTCTACATTTCTGCACTCTACACTCATTTTTACCAAAACTATAATTGTACATAAAAATATTTTCCTCCCACTTGTTTATAGTTAATGAAAGAATTTCCTGTGCTAAGTGTATTGAATATCCATGAAAACCTCCTAGAAACACTTCTGGAGTTACAGGCTTATGCTGATGTCCAGGCAGTTCTAGCAAAGTATGATGGTAAGAATGTATAATAATTATGGAGTTTAGGGAGGGGTAGAAAGATTGTGTAGGAGAGCAAATTAGGTGATGGTGATTGTTTCAAGTAAAGAAAGTTGTTGTACGTAAATGAATGTTGGGAACACAACATTTATGAAGCAAAACCACTGGCTGTGTAGATCACGGACCTCAGAAACTTTCATTCTCTTTGCGAAAGGTACTTGTCTCCTGCTCCTGCTCCCAACTCCTTTCTGCCTCACGGCAGACCTGAAACCTTCAACTGAGGGAGAAAGCCATACCCCTCGCACCTGCATCCAGCCCGGTGGAGCTTGCCGCGCTGGGGGAGAAAGTGACCCCATTGTCCCCGGAGCCTCGGAGGCTACAAGCAGCCCAGAATGGAGGTCGGGGGGGGCTTCTGCATGCAGCTAGGAAGACCCCTCCGAGGGCTGGATCCAACCTCCAGAGGCATACAGAAGCCCCCTTCCATTTCTGTTCTGGGGGCGGCAGCCACTTTGTTCTGGAGTTGGGGGACAGCAGGAGGTAGGCACTGCAAACAGCGTGAGACTTCAGGCACCCATTCTCTGTGAAAGAGGATTGGTGGCTGAACTCATGCGATATTACTGCACTCAGGGCTTCCATTGACTCTCCTGTCCCTCAAAAGCAGGAACCACGGATCTTTTCAAGGCAAGTGAGTCCGGCGTGGCAAGCAGGGAGGGAAAAGCATGAGGTATCTCAATGGGTCGAGGAGACCTTGGGGGCCAGTTCCATCACTAGGCCCCCTATGGCCTTCCCTACCCTGAGATACCTCATATGCACTTACGCTAGGTTAAACTGAGAAAAAAATGACTGCTCAGGGTCACTTAGTGAACTCTGTGATCAAGTTGGGACTTGAATCTCTTCAGTTCAAAACTGAATAGCTGTAGGTTTTAAGCCTTGCTTCTGCCATGAATCTAATGATCTTCCGTTGTTAGTTTTGGATGGGTTAACACTTCCTCAGACATGGTGCTTGATCTGGAATCTTTCTGAACTAGTGCCTTTAGCAGGTGGAAGCTGTGACCAGGTAGGCCTTTTCACAAATGTACCCTATGCTCCACTTGCACTCATTCCTAGATTGACAGGCACTGGTCATGGTCACTCATACCCTAATCACCTGCCAGTTGGGTTATTGCAGTGCCCACTACATGGGGTTACCCTTAAAAAGCATTCAGAACCTTTAGTTGGTCCAGAATGATGCACATATGCAGTATTGGAGGGCCCATGAAAACACTACTGCCAGATTATCTGTGCTGGGTCCCAGTATGCAGAGTACATGGGGTAAGGTCATTTGCATGATTGCAGTGCAAAAGATTTCTCTTTCTTACACTAAATCAGGGGTCTTCAAACTTGACCCTTTTATGACTTGTGAACTTCAACTCCCAGAATTCCTCAGTCAGTGTGCCTGGCTGAGGAATTCTGGGAGTTGAAGTCTACAAGTCATAAAAGGGCCAAGTTTGAAGACACCTTCACTAAATCCAATAGAGTGGGTCATATTTTGGGTTCCCTTGGTAAAATGGTATCACCTGATGGGTTCTTGGAAGCCAGGTTTCTTGATTACAGTACCTGCCTTATGGAGTAGCTTTGTCCTATAGATTTGGAAGGCCCCAATCCTGAGGGACTTTTGGAAAGCCATGAAGACTTGATTTACCCTAGGTGTCAGGACCCACTTCAATACCTTATCCCAAGAAAGCAGAACTCATGGAAGCAAGCTCTTCCAAAAGGAACTTTTATTAGGAGAGGCTGATAGCAGCCATACTAGACAGGGTCTGAGAGTTTCCTGCTCAGATCGGTGATTTAAAGTGTCCCCAAGCAAACTCCACCCCATAGTTCATCCGGACAGTTCAAACCGGCCAATTTCCAGGTGTTAAGTCCATCGTGGGAAAGGGAAGATAACATCAGGCTGGTTCTGGTTGGAACTGCGATGGTCACCTTCTCTGAGAGCTGAGAGTTAAGCCGGTTGCCGAATGCTGCATTCCTTTCTACCTCCCCCTTTTCTAGTTGACAGTTTAAGGAGAGGAGTTTACAGAGAGAAATAGTGTAGGAAAACGAAGTGTTACATTGTAGCAATAGAGGAAGCTAAGGCAATAAACCCTCGATCATTCCCCCCTCCCCTCTAGGACTATGGCAGAACCCAGGGAGAGAAGAGAATGGAATTTGGATCAGAGGAAGAAGCAAGGAAAGTATGAAATCAGACAGATATGGGTTCTGACATTAGGCACTGTTGTAGGATGCCAGTGGAATTAATGGAGCCTGGTGCCTGTAGAGGGACATATTGATAAGGTGCTTTTTATAGTGGCCTCAACTTAATTTTTTAAATGATTGTGTTGTATATTGTGTTTTATATTCTATTCAATCACTCAGAGTTTCATTGTGAGATATGTGGATGTATAAATTTGTAAAAGCAATCAATCAGTCTCCCCAGCACAAATCTAATATGTTCACTGCAATACTATCTTGGATGAATATACTAAATGTAGAAATATGACAATAGAATTAGAATAGAATAGAGCTGGAAGAGACCTTGGAGGTCTTCCAGTCCAGCCCTTTGCAGAAGCAGGAAAACCTATACCATCTCAGACAAGTGACTGTCAAGCCTCTTTTTAAAAATCTCCAGTGATGGAGTGCCCACGATTTCTGGGGGCAAGCTATTCCACTGGTTAACTGTCGTCACTGTCAGGAAGTTTCTCCTTAATTCCAGGTTGCTTCTCTTTTTGATCAGTTTCCAGCCATTGTTTCTTGTCCTGCCCTCTGGTGCTTTGGAGAATAATGTGACCCCCCCTCTTCTTTGTAGCAGCCCCTCAAATACTGGAATACTGCTATGATGTCTCCCCTATTTCTTCTTTTTAGACTAGCCAAACCCAAGTCCTGCAGCCGTTCTTCATATGTTTTAGTCTCCAGGCCTTTGATCATCTTAGTTGTTCTTCTCTGAATTTTTTCCAAACTCTCAACATCTTTTTTGTAAAATGGTTACCAAAATTGGTTTCAGTATTCCAGGTGTAGTCTTATTAGGGTTTTATAAAGAAGTATATGATTGATTTTTGTCTTTCAGATTTTAATCTCATATATCTAATATATAGATAATTTCCTGTATAAATTGCTGTTTGGGGAAGGAATGATTCTGAAATGTTTCTTACTTTAGGATCTAAAGACAACAATTTATTGTTCCATAGATATCAGCCTTCCAAAATCAGCAGCAATATGTTACACAGCAGCACTCTTAAAAGCGAGAGCAGTTTCAGATAGGTAAGTGAAATATTAGATAGGCATATTGATATACGGTAAAGCAGTTATAACATGTTTTCATTGTTACATTCAATGAAAAATCATGGCAGTTTTGCTTCCAAGTTGATATAAAGGTTAACATAAATCAAATTTGTTTTGTCCACTTTTTTAAAAAAAAGAGGACAAGTGATTGTTTCAAATGATTGTTTTAAGTGGTTGTTTAGAACTGAATATTATGGGTATCAACTATATATGGCCACAACTGAATTCATCTGCCTATATATTGCATATATTCCAATAGGAGTAATTTGGTAGGAAGGTAAGATGTAATGACAAAGATTGGCTACATTTAAAAAAAGAGGAAAATGTAGCCAATCTTTGTCATTACACCTTACTTTCCTACTAACACTCCTATTGGAATATATGCAATATATAGGCAGATGAATTCAGTTGTGGCCATATATAGTAGATACCCATAATATTCAGTTTTAAACAACCACTTAAAAACTTTATTATGGGAAGTGGCAAAACTAATTACAAATATTTGGTTGTCTAATTTCTTATTGTGAGTTAGCAGTGGCCTTTGCCAGAGGTATACCATCTTATTCAAGTCAAGGATAACATATATCCTTTGAGTGAAATGCTGCGAACAACGTTCAAAAGGGGATAAAACTCGGTTAACATAAAATTGATTTGCTTAAATGTAAATGTAAATAAAATGACTTAAATAGTTGATATGAATACTCTCCATATATTTAAAATTAAAATTCAGAAGAAAATTTTGGAGGACTTTGGAGGGTACACCTAAAATTTTGTGTGCCATTTTGCTTTCTGTGGATATAGGTAGATGGTTGAGACTACACAGAGTAATTAGAAATTAAGTTTGATTTAGCTTTCCTGGCTAGTTCAGCTGTATATTGGGTTTATTTAGTGTTTTGCAATTCTATCTATTTATGGTTATTCAATGGGTATTTATTCAATAACCTATTGGATAGCCATAAATAGGTAGAATTACAAAACACTAACCATACTTAATATACAACAATGGTTGGTTTCTTATAACATATTAAGCCAAACAATCTTTATTAATATTTGTGGAATTTGTGAGGCAAGGAAATTTTCGTGTATCTGAGATACTCATACATTTTTATCTGGCAAGTAGAAACAGTGCTTAGTTCTTTATTGGATTACAATTTTCTGGTATAATGATATTTATATTACTAATTTGAACTTTTGCTCCTATCATATTTTGTAATATAACAAACTTTGGAATGTTGCTGTAGGTTTTCTCCAGAAACTGCTTCTAGAAGGGGACTTAGCACAGCCGAAATTAATGCTGTAGAAGCAATACATAGAGCAGTAGAATTTAACCCTCATGTACCAAAGGTAAGTACATCCCTAACCATCCTTTGCCTCCTGCCACAGACAAGTGTTGATTAAATGCCGATAACATTTAACTTAAGTTTGAAAGCTTAGTGAAATAAAACTATTTTCACTGATCTTCTAAATACCAAAATAATTTGTGTTTTATAATTTTTAAATCATTTCTCTACATAATATATTGAGCATGAAATATTATTAGGAAAATATTATGAATCTGTAATATAGTAAAAAACACACAAATAAACAGCGGGAGAGTAACTGGATGCATATAGCATTAAATAGAAGTTGAATAAATTTCATAGAAGTTATTCCCAAATATCTGAGAATATTGTTATGAATTATGAAGCAAAGAGACATTGTTTATTGGATCTCTGAAAAGGTTTATGCTTTTTTGTTATCAATCTGGCTAGTCAGCCTATCTAATTGAAGCCTTTCTAAGCCTTTCTGTTAAGGGACTCACTTGGCCATAGCAGGAGAATTATTAGGGAAGAATGTTTCATCCAATCTTAATAACTCTTCAGACATGCCTGAAAGGAAGGATTTAGTTAGGAATTCCTAACTTTAATTAGGAATTCCTTTGCGTAGCCATGTAGTCATTAACAATTAAAACATTTTAGTTTTGAAATGATAGAAAGGAGGAGTGAATAGCTGCTCAGTAGTGAGAATAGCTTCCATTATATAGTAGCTGCTTCTCCAGCTTCAACGTTAGATTGCTCACACTATGCCATAACAGTGCCAAGCAAAATAATCCAATCCTGTGTTGGTAGCTGATCGTATTAACAGAGGGAAAGCTACTTATCTAATCAGAGATAAGCTGATAATAGATGGCAACTTGAAAGTATAGGAAGTCCAGTTCCAAACTACATCTCTGTAGAAAAATATTGTCTTATCGTGAGTCAATACTGTTTAGTCAACTGAAGTTGAAGGCTAAATAATCATGAAAGCACTATCAAACTAAATGTGATTATGCCACTTATTGTGGGAATAGACAACTTTACAATAAAGCCCATTAAAATCACCAGATTAAATCCAGGATACAACATGGGCAAAAAGCATTAGGAAGAAGTAGAACCACCATAACACTCTCCACCATAACACTCTCCAACACTGAAGGCTATTAAATTATCAGGAAAGGCCCGTGTGCAGGCATAACCAGTATTTTCTTAGTGCTATATCCCAGTCTGAAATCAGACTGGAAAGGTTCTGGATAATCTGCTTCCTTTAGGAGCCTTTGGAACTGAAAGCTGATTACCTTCTAAGATCAAAGTAGGACACAAATCATCAAATTTTGTTGTCTCAAGCAAAGATTTCTTAGGGTTGGGAGGAACACTGCCCCTTTTGAAACTGGTGAGGTAGCTCCTTCTCTCAAGAATGTATTTACCAGTGCATCAATCCCTCCCATCTTAGGAATTGTTTATCCCTCATTGATACGTCCAAAGGGTTCAAAAGAGTATTGAGCTAGAGCTTAGATCCCAATATAGTTAAGCAAGAATTTAAAGAAACATTTGAAAATAATGCAGTTGGCACCAGGCTATCTAAGGGTAGAAATGTTCTTTTAAAATATATATTTTCTTTTGGTGTGTTATTTATTTGGCTAAAAGTTGCATCAGGCATTTTTCAATGGATTTTAATTTTTTAAAATATATGTGCTACTATATGTTCATTTTTCTTATTATATAATGAATAGATCAGGAAATAAAAAGGGGAAATTCACATATTTCTTTCAGTCTTTTTCTTCATCTTTTTATGTCCCTGATGCCCCTTTTAACTCCAAAGTAAGTCCATGAATACAGATTTCTTGTAGATAAGTGAGAATATGGGGAACATGCACAGATCTTTCATTGTCCATGTTGGTGAAATAGGGCTATGCCCATGAGTGAAAGACGAGCACAGCATGCTTATGTTTCATAGAGTGATGTGATGTGGCAGTAATTTGGTTTATATATAAATATGATCTTTGTACCAATATAAGAACCAAAATACAATTACTTTATTATTCACCTTTCCAAATATTATACTTTTTTAGTCACATTTCCTAGAATATAGCCACAAAATCTACTCACAAAAAATGCAAAACTGTACAAATTTCATGTTTTATTTATTTCCTGCCTCTATTATTTTTATAAATAACTCTAGGCAGCAAACATACATAGCACTCCTTCCTCTTCTTATTTTTACCACAACACTCCTATAAGATCAGAGAGAGTAACTGGCTCAAGATCACCCAGCAGTATTAGGAGAAATGTGCAAGAAGATAAAACAAAACAAAATTAAGTGTCCTTCACTGGTGAATAAATGATGCCACAAAATATTTCTACAAATTGGCTATTTAACTCTTGTTAGTGCAATGGTACAATATTGATAAAGGAATTTTGGGAATATGTAACTCCTTAAATGTGTGAAAAATTTATCAGTAACTCTTCTGGAAGCAGAATTAGAGCTAATGTAGAAACATTTGCTGATCCGACTTATGCAATGGTAATATTTTCATGTAGAAAAACAAAACAGTATAAATATTAACGTCAATAATAATATTACCATTTACAATCAAACTCATTTTAACAGACCTAGTCAGAATTTAACTTGAAAAGCACCCTATTTCAAAAGTGCTTCAAATTTAGTAATTAAACAAAAGCCTGTGTTAATTTCTTCAGCTTTTGTAACATACATTTATTATTTCTTAATCCATTTACCAACTAAGATGGTTTTTATTTTTTGTAAAATTTCATAAAAAGGTGTGTATAAAATAGTGTATAAAAAGGTGAAAAGGTTGGAGCTATAGTAGGTTCGATTGGTGGGCAATTTGTAATGAAAGGTTGTGATATGATAGATGTGCACACAGAAAAGTGGAAGTTTACCATTCATTTCTTTGGGCTGAACTTTTTGTGATCTCTGTCCCCTCTTACTATTATGAGATTAGTCAGACAGCTAGGTGCTGCCATCTAGTGGGGCAAGACTAACTTACTTTCAAGTCATAGTTCTGCAACTGTATTTATATCTGCCTATCTGTGTTAATGATGTGTCATTAATACTATTAAATAGGTAATATAATTTATAGCAGTTCATTTTTAAATTATCAGTCACAGGCTACAATTTATCTTTAAGCAATTAGCAAACTTCCAAACTCTTAAAGAAACACTGAAGTTATGATAGCATAATTTTGTTGCAAAGTCTGCAACAGACACAAGAAAATCTTGAATGATTTGTATATATGATTACACTTACAAGTGGGCAAATAACTGTAAATCCCAGTAACCATAACTTTTTCATAACCATTATGAAAAAACATTATTTCTATCATTGGCAGTTCCATGGTTATCCCAGTATGTAAAGCAAAGGATTCTATCCTTTGTATAAGGGAACTATAAAAATAATTTATATAAATACATTATTCTTAATTATTTTTGCTACATATACTTGAAATACTTAGATTTATTTTAATATATAGAACTGTAACAGATTAAAGCCTGTCTGTAAAATTTGTACTGCCCAATGGAAAAAAATGAGAAATGTTATGCCCAATTCATCTTTTCCTAAATAAATGTGTATACAGTAATTGGAACTTCAGATAGCCATGGCTGATCATTGATAATATATTACCCTTGTAGCCTTAGTAATAGAAGGATGGCTTATCCCTAGACTTAATCCTCTTTTGATAATCAGGGTGTCCAAATAGTTCTTTCCTTGAAGGTTTGACTTTATTCATCTAGTCTTCTCTTTCCTTGATTATGCATTGGGAGAGCTAATTGTTATAAGGATTTTCTGCTCCCTTGCATGACTGATCAAAAGCACAAATTCATTTCAGGCAGTCTCATTTTTTCTAGCCTCTGCCTTTAGGGTGGAAGACTGGGATGTATTATCATTATCCAAGAATTACAGTAGGTGTCTGTCCTATATCTTCAGGACTACTGTGTCTTTGAGGAGATTAATATGTTTTATGTACTTCTCACTGGCATCACATATCTAGAAAACTAGTGTGTCATAGTAATAATTTTATATTCTTATCTAGTAAATCTTTCAGATTTCAGTTGTATTATTGTGAGTTATATGTCAAGAGGCTGTGGAAAATAACATATCAGAGTTTTTAGACCCACTGTTATCTTTGATTAAATTATTATTTTAATTAAAGGTAACTGTGGGTCTAAAAACTATAAACAAATACGAAGCTAATAATTTCATGGACTTAAAACAATTATGGCAGAGATTGGATATTTGAAGCTACTTTCACACTATGACAATGTGTGAATGATTCCTTACTGGTTTAAAAAAATAATCAAGAAGGATTAAATAGGATTAGTTAAGAGTATTGCCCTCCAGTAAATTGACTCAAGCACTAAGAGAAGAATCAGTCAGGCAGTACATTTGGTTTGACCATCACAGCTTTGGCTACATTCCTTCAAGAACCAGAACGGGAAAAGTTAAATTCTTTAAACTCGATTATTAAATAATCTCATTGTTTGTGGTATCTGCAAGCAACAACTTGGCTAAGTTCTTAGAGTTTTGTGGCAAGTCAGCAGAAATATTGGGTACAATCAAATATTGTATCTAATACTTCATATTATCAAATATGACATTGATTTAACTATTAATAAATGGAATGGGCTAGTTCATAAATTGTAGACATTAGTTAATTGAATGGTTACAAATATTTGGACTTTCCTCAAGGATATATTTCACATACATAAAATATTTTCAGGGCATGATTGTAGTTTTTGGGTGAAAAGAATCCAAAATAATGCTGGAAGGAGATAATTATTAGTGTCATTTACAAGTGAATTCTAAGTATTTGGAAATAATTTATTATATGCAGTTATCTTCCATTCTGCTTCAGGTTTAGAATCAACAATGAACTCAATAAGAAAGTATCTTCAGTTGCAATCTAGGACAGGAGGAAGGACATTGCAGCAAAACCATCCGTTTTTAAATTTGCTGCTTTTTTCAACATAGGAACTGGAGACTTTAATTTGAAACCTACTTGGAAATGGATAACTCCAACTAAAATGAGCAAACACTATAGTTTTGTAATCGTCTCTAACACTTGCATTACCCCTAGTAAACTGCTTGAGCTGCTATTCTATTTTGTACACAAATCACTGTTTTATCAAAATTTTACCAGGGTAATATTTTTGGAGGCGCGTAATATAAATCTTTATCAGACTTTTGCACAAAGCAGTTTATGCAAAACAATACTGCTTTCAAATAAAATATCCACATTAAATTGATATGGTCTTTCCTACTGTGAAAGATTCACAAAAATGCCTTTTTAAATTTCAATTTGCCAAATAATTCACATTTTCTTACAATTATTGCTTTCTCTTTCTCGTACACAAATCAAGATTAAACTAAATTAAAAATACTTACACAGAAAACACTTAAGTGTTATGTTCTATATAGTTTCTCATGACTTCTCATTTTTTTCTTCCAGTACTTGCTAGAAATGAAAAGCTTAATTTTGCCTCCTGAGCACATTCTGAAGCGTGGGGACAGTGAAGCAGTAGCCTACGCATTCTTCCATCTTCAGCACTGGAAACGAATAGAAGGGGCCCTTAACTTGCTGCACTGCACATGGGAAGGCAGTAAGTATTCTTCTGTCAGTAGTACAAACTTATTTTTTTTACTAGTTTAATACAATACAATAACCTAATACAATAAAATGTGCTCTGACACATTATAGCAGGATCTTTGAATGGATCAGTTTGTTTTAATGGTTGTAGACTACACTTTAAAGTCATAATCTGTTGGTGGCTTATAGTAAACGACAGCTTGATAGTAAATTAGAGTTTGCATTACAAACCTTAGACGGAATTGATGTCAGCTTTAGAAGTTTATTTTTTTCTAAGGAAAATAAGAATTTATAAATGTCTCTTCACTCACCATATTTTTCTTTTGAACAGATACTTATTAGTCTGCTTTTCCACATTTCTGTTTTTAAAGGTTCTAAATAAAATGCATTTAAATAAAATGACATTCTCAAACTCCCCAAATTTCATTGAATTTAATCTTTTTTAATGGGAAACTTAATTCAAACTTATTTTCATTGTAGACTTGTTGGAAATCTATAAAAAGATGGAAGATTTCTTATAAATCCATCACAAGCAGCCATGTTTGATAATATATTTTTTGACTACATCCTATTGTTTTCAGAACACTTAGAGGAAAATGCTGATTTCTGGAGATTATTATTTTTGTAAATAAACTGTGTAGAAATAGAATCAGAAACTAATTTTAACATCTATTTCACTAACAATTTCCAGACAGTCTTTGAAATTCTCACTTTTAAATTGTGGCAAAATCTAGTATGTAGAAACACAGAAATCATCCTACTATGGCATATTTTTTCAAAATAGCTGCATAGCAAGTTATTGCTGTGTTTATATCATGTCATCCAACAAAGCTTTTCTAAGTGGAATAGAGTGCTTAATTCATCATTAGGCTATATAGAAGGCAAAGCCTCTATATCAAAGTAACACAATATAGTTTGTAAGGTATTTTGAGGCTTTTCCCCTCCTGTCTAACAGTACTTGGATGTCACTGTGAAGGCAGGTGTTGAAATCAAAGAGGTCAGAAAGCATCATCCTATTTATTTGGATCACAGTGATCTTACACTGTTAAATATCAAGCTATTTGCAATATTTAAATCCCATTCGGTTTGTGAAGAAGGTCACTAGGTTGCTAAAAGTAAATTTTGTGGATTTGCTGAGGAAATGATGGCATTGCTTATAAAGAGTTTGATTGCAGGTTTGTTCAAGAAAACCTAAGCAAGTTTTCCTGTTAAATATCTATTTTGAAACCCTCATTTGTGTTTTTTATGGCTGCTAGTCAAATCTCACTGTATTTTATACTGGGATTACTTTCAGAATTCTCATGGACAAGTTTCTTATCCTTGTAACCTTTTTACAGACTTTACACTGAGAAAAGACTTTACCAAGATCCTATATATTAATTTGTAGAAATTATAAAGCAGTTTTCCATGATCTGATGCCAATCATTATTTTTACCTCTTTTTCAGCATTTAGAATGATTCCATATCCGTTAGAAAAGGGACATCTATTTTATCCCTATCCCAGTTGCACAGAGACAGCAGACAGAGAGTTATTACCAAGTAAGTAGATTTTTTCATACATTTTTTTCATTATCTAAGGTATAGCATTTGTATACTGTATTTCTATGCAAACACATTCAATATATCAGCAGGTTTAAATATTGTTAGTTTTAAATGTGACAGTGAGGAAGAACAGTATTGATCTGCTATAGCAGGGCTTTTCAACCTTTTCACCCATTGTACCACTTTTCGGATAAGGCAATATCCGAGTACCAACACTCGCCCAGCAAGGTATCAAAAACGTGACCCAAAAAAAAAAAGGAAAAAATGAGAAAGTACAGGTAGTCCTCGACTTACAACAATTCGCTTAGTGACTGTTTGAAGTTACAAGGGAATTATGACCATTTTTCACACTTATGACTGTTGCAGCATCCCCAGGGTCTTGTGATTTACATTCGGATGCTTGGCAACTGATTCATACTTATGACGTTCACAGTGTCCCAGGGTCATGTGATCAATGGCCGGAGGGGCGTGGCCAGCTGATCACTCAGGTTGCAGGGTTCCTGTGGGGGGGAATCCGTGGGTCTCTGGTGGAGGGGGATGCGACTGGGGCGGGTGCCTACCTTCCTTCCCTCCCTTCTCTCCCATTGTCCCTTCCTTCTTTCCTTCCTTTCCTTCACCTCCCTTTGTCCCTTCCTCCTTCCCTCCCTCTCTCCCATTGTCCCTTCCTTTCTTCTTTCCTTCATCTCCCTTTGTCCCTTCTTCTTCTCTCCCTCTCTCCCATTGTCCCTTC